GGTCACACATGGTACGTCCTCATATTGTAGGTGCTCCACTGTTTTTTGATCTTTTTGTCGTTTCTTGGTGGCGAAGGTGTAATTACTCTTGCCACCTACTCCGCTGATCTTGTACGGACATTTCCAAATGGGATCCATCTTTTTGGAGCCTTCTTTACGGGCAATGATGAAGGCTTTTCTTAGGACTAGATCTTCGGGCTGGAACTGCCGGATCTTGGCCATTTTGTTATAGCTGGAGAGGACCTGCCACTGGTAGGCTGCGATGTGGGTGATGGTCTGCTTACGCTTCTCCTCTACCAGATCTAAGCTTGTGGCCATCTCCTTACTATCCGGTTGCTCGTCTTTTGGTGGTGCAATATGCCCGTAGACATCCAGGGAGTTCGTCTGGCCATTTTCCCTTCTTGTTGGCGAGGGATTTCTTGAGGTAGTCGAGGATCATCTTGTTGGATGTTTCGACCCGTCTATTTCATTGAGGATATCTTGGTCGTTATTAGTGACAATGGATTGAGGGATGCCAAATCGGCAAATGATGCTCTTTCATATAAAGCATTCTATGTTCGTCTAAGTTGTGGTCATTATGGGCTCTGCTTCTACCCATTTGGTGAAGTAGTCAGTTGCCACGATCATCATGCCTCTGCCCTAGTAGCAGGCGGCATAGGTCCTACTAGGTTGATTGCCCACTGCATGAATGGCTAAGGACTCGTTTGCAGGTGTAGCTCGCTGGCAGGCAGTGCTGGTACCAGCTTGTAACGTTGGTAACGGTCGTACTTTTGTACTAACTCTTTAGCGTCTTGGTGCATGGTAGGTCAGTAGTAGCCTGCGTTAAGAGCCTTCTATACTAAGGATCGACCTCCGAAGTGATTTCCACAAACGCCTTCATGGATTGAGCTTAGAACCTTCAAGTCATCAGGAGGCACTAGGCAGCGAAGATGTGGTTTGGTATAGGATTTTCAGATGAGAATGTCATTCCACATGTAGTAGCACCCTGCCTTGATTTGGAGCATCCTAAACTCCAATCTTTTCATAGGGAATATGCCATTGACCAAGTTGTTTACAATGGAATCTTGTCAGTTTAGAGTTGTACTAACCTGTGACATCTCGATTGCTGGCTTCGCCTCTATGCTTGGCTCATCTAGATACTGTGCCGGAATAAAGCGTTTGAGTTAGTGGTCAAGGGTGAAGCCTAGGTCTGCTAGTGAGTCCACGTGAGCATTGTCTGCCTGTGGAACTTAAGTGAGGGTGTAAGTCTTCAAGCAGTCTGGCTAGTGATTAGCTGGGAATCAGAATGAATTATGAGCTTTTTCACCGCCAAGTCTTTTGCCATTCGGAAGCCTGCTAGTAGGGTTTCGTATTCTGCTTCATTGTTGGATGCTTTGAAGCTTAGAGTTATCGCCTGCTCAGGCATCGAACCGTCTGAGTGACAAGGACTACGCCTGCTCTCGAACCTTTGTAGTTGGATGCGTCGTGGACATGCAAATGCCAAAAGTCTTCATAGGGTGGAGCAAACATGGCTAGGGCATGCTCGGCTACCTCCAGGGTGTCGTTGGGCCGTTCTGTTGCATCGTGAATGCATGGTAGCGAGTTGTGGAGCTGGGGCCATGTTACACGCAGCAAGAGATGCTTAACTGCTGGTATTGGACCACTCTAGAGTTGAATTATAGAGTAAGGGTCGGCTAGGGCCGTGTGACACGTAGCAGGAAGTGGTGCTCAATTACCGGTACATGTTGCTCCTATGTAAAATCTTTTGGGGCGACGAGGACAAAACTTGCTTCCGAGTGTGTCCTTCCAGTGTTCGTTTACCCTTGGTGTGTCTTTTAGGCCGAGTTGTTATGTTTGTCAGAAAACTTTGCATTCGCCAGGGTCTACGCCTTTATTGTCGCACGTTTGGATTGGGTGGAATAATGCATCATGAGGATGACTGCGTGCATTTGAAGGTAAAATTTGAGCTTCCGGGTTGCAACAACTATCGCCAAAGTTAGCTTTTGAATTTCTGATAGCATCAATGAGAGCTTTTGAACTGTGGAATACAAGTAGTCAGGCCCTCAACTCTTCTTACATGATGGTAGAGCTTATTGCTGCTTTAGATACCGTCAAACATGTGAATAAGTCCCCCGCTGCTTCAGGTTTGGATAGTATAGAGGTGGTGTCTGGAACTTCTTCGAGTCCTTAAATGTGCATTGGCGCATCTCGTCCCAAAGTGCATGCTTCTCTACCAGAGCGAAAGAGTCTGCCAGAGTTAGATCTTCTTTCATGATCAATTTTCTGAATAACGGGTAGTCTGCTGGAAGTCCTTTTAGGAAGGTTGCACTAGCTATTGAGTCATTGCATCCGACTATCCATGCCTTCTCTGCTTTGAACCTTTTCAAATAGTCGTGAAGCAACTCCTTTGAACACATGGCCGAACTTCTTTTTGATCGAGCGATATGATGAATATTCTTTGGTGAAAACCAAAGAAAGTTTGTTAAAACTCCAGAGTAGGGTGTAGAACCAATCTTGTGCCTCGCCTTGTAGAGTGGTGGCGAATATCTTGCACATGAGATCGTCGTTGTTTCGATAGAGGATCATTACGCTTCGGTAGTGCTTTAAGTGTCTCTCCGGGTCTTCATCCCCTTTGAAAGATGTGAAATGTGGCATGCTGAACTCGTGTGGAGGCTCTGCCAGATCAATCTCGTCCGTGAAGAATGACCTGTTTATGTTGGTCATGTTCCGTTGTAATGCCTCGTCGGTGACCTCGTTGCATTGGAAATTGTACAATCGCTTGGTCAAGAGTCTCTCTACTTCTTCCTGAATTTGCCTTTGTTGGGGTAGCGGAGCTCTCGGCTACCCCCAACCGTAACTTGTTGGTCTAGGCTGCTCTTCCATATGTTTGGCTCGTCTATGTTGTGGATGCGGTACGTGTAGTGCATTCCTAGCAGACAAGCGAGTTCTTCGCAGGCCGGTGGTTGAACTTGAGCCGGGTTGAGTGACTGCTTCTCTCCGTACATCATCCTACTTACTCAGATGTAAGGTGGATGATGCTCCTTGCGGGCTTAGCCGCGAATAAACACTTCGCCTGAAAGGTTACTCATATTGACTATCAGAGTGTGATCCTAACCATGAATGTATGCTTGTCCGTGGGCCTAGTCGAGAGTGCATGCTCCTCCGCATGCTAAGATGGGAGTATACACTATCTCGGGGGTCCAATCGGGAGTGTACACTACCCGAAAGCTCTGTTGGTGGCTGGTCGAGTGGCTGCTTGTCGGGGCACTGCTAGAGAGGTTCTATGTCTGCCATTGTCCTACTTTAGGACACCTCATCTGGGGCAAGTTGCATCTCGGTGTGCTACAAGAGCTGGTTCACCAAGGTCGTCTGTTGTGCGAGGGCGCTCGTTAACTCTATGACTTGTCGAGACAAGTGTTGTTCTCTATTTGGGTTGGAATAGCTTGGAAGTAATATGTCTCTTTAAGCAGTGGAAGTGTGGTAGACTCTGGGCGCGAGGTTTGAGTTGGGAAATGTCAAATCCGTAGAAAAATGTGGTGAAAATGCTCCCAGTTCAATCATCAATTAGGAAATTTGGAGCCGGGACGGTTGAGCTAATCTTGGATCAATTTGGCTACTTGGAAGGCCACAGGAGCAGACTGGGCCGTGGGAGTAGGCTGGGCCATGAGAGTGGGTTGCTCGGTGAGAGCAAGCTGGGCCACGGGAGTGGGCTACTCGGCATGTGGAACACGTGGGTACGAGACTAGGGCTCGGCTTGGCAACGTGTTGGGCTTAGAGTGACATGGCTTTGGTGTCGTGGGCCTTGGATGGCATGACTTGGGCTTGCTTAGATGGCACGGCTCGGGCCATGGTGGTGACACCATGGACCTCGTTGCGGGTGGCCACCGCAGTGGTTCCCATGGTGGAAACTTGTGGTGGTGGTGCCGCTCCATTTATTGTCACATTTAACCTCATGGATCGCCACGTTCCCATCTCTTGAATATTGGAATTTTCCCTTGTTGAATTTTCTAAATTTCTAGCCATTGTACTTCTCTTTTACATTTTATCAAAGAATTTTTGCAAATAAAAAATTCTAAAAATAAGAACATACGAAAATCTACAAATGGACAAGAAAATAGAAAACCTTGGATGCGAGAGTCTTCTACGAGTGTGGGACTCAACTCTCAATGAAAGCACCAATTTGTGGATGTAAATTTCTTCCTCCTTGATCTTGGACAAAATTGCACCTACAAAACAAATAACACCTTAGGTCAAGGCCAAGAGCCTCACGCGCCCACGATGAATGGGGGGGGCTTTGGCTGAAGAACCTCCGATGCCAAAGTTAGAATTTTGTGGGAAAAGTGTTTGAGAATTTTAGAAAATTTAGCAAGAGAATTGGAGTTAAGTTTTGGAGAGAATGAGAGGCCTTTTATAAGGGTGTGGTAGGCCTCCTTGGGTGAGAGAGGACCGCTCACTTGGCTCTCTTTGTGGGCTAGGTTCTTGATTTGTGTTTAATTGGGTATAATTGAATAATTAACTAATTAATTAGTCAATTAATAGAATAATTGCCTAATTGATTAGCTAATTAATATAATAAAAAGGGAAAGATTTGGGAGTTACTTGTGGACAGGATTTGATGAGGATGGATGAAATAGGTTTTGAATTGTTACCTATTTTGGGCACTTTTGACTTGGTTGAGGGATGATTGCCCGCTGCTCACGCGTAGGAATCCCGATATGCCTCAAGGTTATTTTTGTCCTTCTCAATCCAAAAATCCACGTGTCGTCTGGTGATTATTTTTTGCTCTAGAATGATGTACTCTCTAGTATATATTCAAGTCATTTCCAGTCATTTGATGATCAAAGGTCCCATTGGCACTCAGATCTGGTTAATTTAGTAGTTTTACTGCTATAAAAGATTGATTGAATGGGAACTAGATCATTGGCTTAATCAGATTTGGACTTCTAACCTTTAAAGCATACAAGATAATAAAAGTCATTGATCTCAAGGCATAGAAAAGAACTTAATGTAGACTTAACTCATATACGACAATCCTTTGATAACAAGAAGTTAGAATAACTTGGAGTGCAAGTAATCGATTCAAACACACTTGTTCTGCATCTGTCATACTGAGATGGCTGTGGCACACCTAAGCACTTAGTTAATTTTGATTGCGAGCCTCAAGGCCTACACCTAAGGCCCTACACCTAAGGCCCTACAAAGGCATATTTTAAAACTAACTTTATCCTCCTCTTACAGCCTTTCAACAAGCAAGAGCCCGACAACCAACCAAAGTGCCAACTCCTCGGGGAGCTGCGTGCTCGAGCCAGGGGCCTTCTGGAGATCTCCAGGGAAATTCCTACCTGAACAGCAACAATATATTTACACTAAGGAAGTATGGGATTGCAAACTCGGCATTTTTATGATTTAAATTTAAGACATTTTATTTACAAGTAAAGAGAAGTACTATTAGACTGTAATAGCTAAGTGAGTATAATGTCGTTTTATTAAAATAAAGAATACTTACCTCTCCTTTAAATTAAAAAAATACATAAAATTTCCCAAATCAAAGAGCCTCCTGCTTGTACGGGTTGCCCTAGGGGCCTTCTTGTACGTGCGTATATGCCAATACGGATCTAAGATGAAGGGGACCTTAATATTGGACGACTGATATAAGATCAGAAGATGCAGAGGCAAAGATATATAGTGCATGTGTGTGATCGAGGTGAGGAATTAGGAAGCAAAACTTGTTAATAGGGGAAAAAGGGAAGGAAGGCAGGTGGTATTATCTGTCAAGTGGGTAGCTGTCTCCCAATTGCTTTGACCAAAGAAAGTGACGATCCCATCCATTCCATTCCATTTCATGCTTTTACTTTTCCTGCTCCACATGCCACAGCCAGCCTTATGCCCATATCCGCCGCCCAACCCACACTCTCTCTCTTACACATACATATTACATGATGTGTACATAGACACGGTTGTTTTTTTTTTTCACATTAATTGTTTGTTTGTATTTTTTCACTCTGAGGTGTGAGGTGTGAGGTGTGAGGTGTGAGGTCTCATGGACTTAAAGACATAGAGGGGAGAAAAACAGTGATTTTTTTTTTTTTCACATTAATTATTTGTTTGTTTTCTTTTTCACATTAAGTCTCGCAAGTTTCCGGGCGGGAGGGTAAAGACAGAGAGGGACGAAAAACAGTGAGTGATAGAGAGACATTCACTTGGCAGGTGTGTAAATGTAATTAGATGTACTAATTATACACATGCCCTTTAGCTGTGAGATCACTCCACATCGAAAGTTCAACGATCCGACCTATCTATTTTGTAAGTTTTGATTCATAAATTATCTTTGAAAAAATTATATTCAATCCGAAACCATTTGCCTGTTTAATTATCATGATAAATTTTTTTTATTTCTTATAGAACGAAGTGTTCGTCAATTTCGTTGAGCTTAATTAGATGTTTCGAATATTTCCGATTTGACTAATATTTTACAAGAATGATCTATGAAGTGTAACTTAAAAAATAAACAGTTTTGGACGTTAAAGTTTAATGTGGTGTGAGCTTAACAATTAATCCCTTTTTAAAAAAAAAAAATAGAAACTCATTCTCTTAAAGCCTCCTAATTATGTATGTGTGTGTGTGTGTGTATATATATATATATATATATATATATATATGCGCGCATGCGCATAGTGTGTGGGGGTGTGTTATTAACTTATTACCAACTCATAAAGCATGCATAAATACACATGCTGACATGCATGCGTGCATGTCTGTATCAATGTCTCATGCATGTATATATACAGTCAAGCTCATGCTCCATGCATGCACGGCTTTGCTTTATCTTCCTATCTTTTTTCCCCCGGAGTGACAGACAACCCTTGAGTTCCTGCTGGCTTCCAGCTCAGTAAACACTTGCGTGGGGCCCCACTTCCTTTGTTCAAGGTTCAGTTCAGTTCGTGTGGAGAGATTTTCTCATGTATTCGAACACAAGTGATGCCACCCCCTTAGCTAGGCAAAAGGTCCAAACAATCAAGTTAGATCACAGGCTGCTTTGATGGGGTTGGTTGGGGTTACTGTAAGGAAGGGAAGCTTGATAAACAGCATGGGCAGCCCATTCTAAAATTAAAACTCATATTTGCAGGCCCATGAACCGCACTGCTTCGCTCAGGGCTCTCATAGTAAATGTATACATAGGCAAAGCATCATCAGTCCTCTAGAAATATATTATTTTTCTTGACATAGGCGAAAGCGATACCGGGGAAGGAGAATCGAAATCAGGACTATGGATGCGGTGCAGTGCTGGGGCAAACAATCTTGGGAGGGCATGCCTTCTAAGAACCTAGGTTGTGACTCATATAATATGAGTCATATTAGAAACTATGCCGCTGATATGAAATAAATCCTAATCAAGACGATAGACATTAGACCGCGAATTTCAGTCATCCAAAGCCTAAGCAGGTCTTCCATGGCAAGGCAATCACCATCATTATGTACAAAATTAATAAATGTTTCCCAAGTTAACTAAAGCGCCTCTTTGGAATCAGTCTCTACAATTTGAGAAGAAAAACCAGCTGCTAATATAAGCCAGCAATCCAGTTGCCTTTGCAGAAATCACCCAGGCTACCCTCCTGGATCCACCTGCGGCATGAGTATCGCATCTGCTGCATTTTATGGACCTCTACCATACTTTCGTTCAGTGCAGCAGACAGCTCCACCTTTTAGTTGTACTATGGTGCATGTGGTGGTTTGCCAAGCAGTCTTTCCAGGCTGCATTGGCACCCTATACCATGGTCTTTGATAAGAGCCTACGACAGTCTTACATATGCATTACAACAAACACATACAAAACTGCAGCTTCTAGCAGGCTCCTATCAAGATTCAGAATCTCATTCATTCCACAAAGAAGCACTAGAAGGTGTTTACTAAAATAAGTCCAGGATAGATCGTTCTTTTCATTACATCCTCCATGAGTAACCTAACAGGGAATATAACATTAGGCTACCTTCTTAATTACGAGCTTGTACTGTGACAGGGTCGCATCTGTTCAAAATCTACCAACCCAAAAAACAAAAGTAATAAGCCAAATCAAGCATCACCCATCCACCAAAAAGTGCAAAGAAGCCTATACTTCACAGAACCAAGCACTACGTGCCACTACGACAAGTCCTCGTGATAAAGATGAAGCCCAAGACCAAAGCGTGCACAAGCTCGACGAAATGCCATTGCCTCTGCCTTCTGTACAGGATCCCCATAACTTGTGTCATCTACTGAAGCAGTGCCTATTGACTCCCTAAAAATCTGGAGAAACAAGGAACAAATAATTGGAAAGAACAAGTCAGATCCTCCTTGGTTATGCATGCTAAAGTTCACATTCTTTTTCTCTGTTCTTATTCTTTTCAGAAATGTCTGAAGCCCATGTAAAGGAGCATCAACTAAACCGTTTACAAATTTCATAATTCACAGAACCTGTGGAAGCTTCCGGAGTCCTGACTTCAACTAATGGAACAAGGTTGGTATAAATTTATTTTATTTTTTTTTGGTATTGAAAATATATCTGAGACCCAATTACCCTTAAAGAAACCAAACAAAGAGGTCAAAAGGATGTGTACAACTCGGATCCTGCAAATCACAAAGGACGACTGTACTCAACTGAAAATAAAACAGAAACGAAGAAAGACTCTACACGCTTTCTGATGAAGAACAGAAATATTAATTAGTTCATGGCTACCTAAGCTGTGAGTAGGTTTATGTTTCTGCAAAATATAACTGAGATGCATCCCATTCATCCATTTGTAGATACCAGATGCATAAACTAATAAATACAAGTTTGTGTCTAAACATACTAATTTACATTCATTCAATTTCATCCCTCCAATGTTTACATAAATAATTGGGAATCACAGTAAGTTCCAACAACACTATCCGAATTAAAAGGTTAAAAAAGAACACAAATGGAAATTTGAAAACTGTACCTCAGCATCAGTTCCGTAGAGCGTGACGCGATAAACAACCGATACAGACTTGGCATCAGCAGAGTAAGTGACGCTTCGAACCTCACCGGACCATTCTACAAATATCATATTTCAGAAAACAAAATAAAATTGGAAGACATTTAGGAATATGAAAGAAAACTACCAACTGGTGTGGTGGCTACCTGGAGCATGCAAGTTCATAATCCGATTCACAATGTGCCTGCAAGTAAAATGGCAGGCCAGAATCAGAATCAGAATCAGAGAGACCCCTTTTTTATTGATTCGTATTTGATTTGAAATTAAAGGAAATTAATTGAATACCAGGGGATATATTTGGAGGTGAAGCCATTTTCAGAGCGGGTTTTGACGAGGGAATCGGGGACTTTCTTGTTGAGTTGCTTGAGGATTTCAGAGAGGGGTCTGCTGATTCCGGAGCTCACTGCGAACCCACCGACGTCGACGTCGACGCCTTCTTCTGCCTCTGCTTCTACTTGTTTTTTCTCCCTCCGCCCTTCCGCCGCATAAGAGGAAGAAGATGCCACCTTGGCGTAGGAACGCCGCCGACCCACAGCTGTCCACAGCGATCTCAACGCAGATGATTGGGTAGAGACTGAAAGCGCCATTCCTTTCCTTCCCTTACCTTTCCTTTTTTTTTCGGTCCAATGCTTTCCAACGAAGCGCAAAACCCAAACCGAAACGAGACATTTTAAGTTTATGATAAGGATTAATCTTTACTAATTGCTCAAGTTTCTTAGTTTTCAACATTTCTTTACTATCAAGATTATAACTATTTGGAAGCCCAATGATATCGGAAAATAGCCACAAAAATTACTGGTCCGCAAAAAAACTGGAAAACTCATCAGAAACTGGATAAATTTTAAACTTTCATAACTTCTTCAATACTCAATGAAATTGAGTAATTAAAAAATGAAAGTCATACTTCACAACGAGACGAAGAGAATGATACCTTTCTCAATGGCTAGTTAGTTGTGGTTTGGCCGGAAAACGGCTCGAAAGTGACTGGTTAGAGACCAATACAGCCACTTTTGAGCCGTTTTTCGGCCAAACTATGGTGAGTTAGCCATCAAGAAAGATACCATCCTCTTCGTCCTATCGAGAAGTATGATTTTTGTTTTTGAATCACTCGATTTCGTTGAGTATTGAAGAAGCTATGAACATATAAATTTACCTAGTTTCTAGCGAGTTTTCCAGTTTTCTCGCGGACCAGTCACCTTTCAGGCTATTTTTAGGCCATGTCCAGAAACCATTGGGCTTCCAAATAGGTATAATCTTATTCTACACTTTCCTATCTTCATTTTGATATATTATGGGTCAAATTTGGTTAAGAAACGATTTAATTACGAAGCTTTGAAAATTGCCCAAACTTTCGGCCAAGAGCTCCATGACACTTAACGGAGTTTTTAACTAAATGACCAAAATAATGGATGGTGGACAATCTCAGGGACCAAAGTGATGTGTTAAGCAAATCTCAGGGACCTTTTTTACTAAGATATTTTTTATGTATTTTTTGGCCTGAACATCCTCGTGTCATTGTCGCATTAGGTTTTCGATGAGATTTTCAACTACTTTCATTGCACCACATGTCATTATCCTTTAATAATATCCGCACAAATTTTTGTTAAGATTCTAACCATTCCTATAGTGTCATGTCCTTATTCAATTTTCTGATTTCCTTACATTTCTCCATAAAGAAA